CACTGAACTACTGTCTTTAATGAAACTTATATATATATATATATATATATGTGTGTGTGTGTGTGTGTGTGTGTAAAATGTGTATGTATATAAATATAAAATATATGTATGTAAAATGTATGTCTATATATATATATATATATATATATATATATATATATAAAAAAATATATATATATATATATATATATATATATATATATATATATATATATATATATATATATAAGGTAATTATACTCGTTTCGAAAAGCTTTGAATTTTTGATTTGCCAATAATCAAATCAATCACGAAGGAAAAAAAGGTTTTAAAAACAGAAAGAGCTACAAACATGAAAGTCTGTCGAAAAACATCGCACAGATAAAGGGTTTGAAGCCCAAAGAAAAAACCCCGACACGAGTAAACAACTAACTAAAAAGAGCTCAATACAACCGTAGAGCAGACCTAGATAAACCTAGTGAGCCAGACAAACCTACCCAGGTTTCACCTAAGCGGATCGTCAGGGAAAGCAGGGAAATATATATATATATACATGCAATTTTTATATATATTTATATATTATATATGCGCGGTACTTATTGGAAATCGCTCAATATCAGTGATAGGGCTAATATATTTCGTTGGATTGATGTGAGTTTGTGACCCTGGGTTTCACGCTAATTGCGATCGTCAGACAAACTGATTCATTTTTAAATTTTGGATTTATATATGGTTGTGTATATCGGTGTTTTTATGGTAGTTGGAGGGAAAATTGTCGTCGGAACGCCACTCATACTTACGCAAACATATATGCATGCACGTTCACTAATTGACTTACGCAGACACACACACACACACACACACACACGTGCGCGCACGCTCACTCAACGTGACTCACACAAACATAAACATATGTGAATAGTGTGGAATTGGATATATATGCGCATCCTTGTGTCGTTGTGTATATACATACGCATTTAATCGCTGTATTCAATGTTGGATTGTGTAGCGAATATTTTTTTATGTCTGTTGCGCTGTCAAAGCGCAGTCCATTTTTCTATTTTGTTCACTGAATAATATTTTTTCGCACGCACGTATGTATGTATGATGGGGTCTGTGTAAGACTATGGTAGGTAAAAATTGCTATTATTTTTAATTTTTTAAGGCTGTTTTGTTATTACTTTAAAGCCGGTTATTTGCTTGTTTTTGGCGATTGCGCATATGTAAATGGTAGAAATTTCAATTTGTAATACTTATTATTATTTATGTGGTGGTATTAATTTTGCTGGGAGAGGGAAAAGTATGTATATTTGTGGACTGATACGGTAATGGTAATTGTGGACTAATACGGCAAAGGTAATTGTGATGTGATAGTAAGGGGGAGCGGGTGATGATAATAACAATAGTAGCAGCAAATAGTTATTGTAAAGTGGTAGGAGTGATCATAGTAATGGTGGTGGAATAACAATAATTATAATTATTATGATGGTAGTGTGAAGCCCAAATTACGTACACACATCCTCCAACCAACCACTTTCAATCATCAAACAAATAACCATATCAATCAAACAGAGACTATCTGAATACTAATCAAACAGAGACATTTTCAATAACTAAAAACAAACACCATATGACGAAGCACTAAAAGAATGCCGATACACACAACAACTGCAATACACACCTCCACAACCGAAACGCAAAAACGGAAAAAAAACATTATCTGGTTTAATCCTCCATACAACAAAACCGTCAAAACAAACATAGGAAGGACATTTCTAAACTTAATAGAAAAGCACTTCCCTGAAACAAACCGATTAGCAAAAATATTCAACAAAATAACGTTAAAATCTGTTACAGATGCACAAAAAATAATAAAAAACCACAACAAAAAAGTAACAACCTGCAATAATGCAACCAAACAAACTCAATGCAACTGCAGAAATAAAACATGCCCACTCCAATGAAATTGCTAACAAACGAATATAATATATAAAGCCAAGGTAAGTGCAGACAGCAACACAATGTAATACATCGGTACCACTGAAGGATCATTGATGAAAAGAAAAAAACAACCACAACCTTTCATTTTCCAACAGAAAATACTCAAACAGCACTACACTATCCACATACATATCGCATCTAAAAGACAAAAATATCACACCAAGAATAAGCTGGAAAATATTGAAAAAAGAACCTGCCTACAACAACATTACAAATAAATACCTACTTTGCCTAGACGAAAAGGTAGCAATAATTTCTCATACTCAAATAAAGAACTTACTAAACATAAGATAAGAAATAATTTCTAAATGCAGACATGAAAACAAATAACTATTATCAGAACTTATGCCAAACGGATAAAAAAACCCAACAAACACTACTACATAAACCACCATTGACCCTATAAACATGAAATATAAACCACTGATATCATAACACCATCAATTATTTCTTAATTCAAACTACCATCATAATAATTATAATTATTGTTATTATCAATCCACCACCATTACTACGATCA